CTGTGGGACACCAAAACCTCATAAATACCCCATAAATACACCCCTGCCAGGACCTGGGGGGGACAGAAACCCCATAAATACACCCCTATCAAGACCTGTGGGACACCAAAACCCCATAAATACACCCCTGCCAGAACCTGTGGGACACCAAAACCTCATAAATATCCCATAAATACACTCTTGCCAGGGCCTGTGGGACACCAAAACCCCATAAACACCCCCTGGCAGGATCTGTAGGACACCAAACCCCATAAACACCCCCGTAGCAGAACCTGTGAGACACCAAACCCCACAAATACTCAATAAATACCCCCTAAATCCCCCCCTGCCAAGACCTGTGGGACCCCAAACCCCCTAAATCCCCCCCGGCAGGACCTGTTGTGGTCCCACAGGTGCGTGAGGGTCTCACCTGGAGCTCTGGGGGGGCCGTGGAGGGGAAGACGAGCCCGGGGCAGTCGCAGAGTCGCACGGTGCCCGTCAGGAAGTGGGTCTGGAAGTAGCGGGTGTGGCCGGGGGTGCGGGACACGCCCACCGCGCTGCGGCCAATCAGGGCGTTCACCACCGACGACTTGCCCGCGTTCGGCAGCCCTGGAGGGGACACGCCCACTTTGACCACGCCCACACGTGAGCCACGCCCACATGTGGGTCACACCCAGCCTGGACACACCCCGGGTGAAGCCCCACCCATCAATTACATGGACACGCCCATGCAGGCTCCACCCACCAAGGGCAGGCTCCACCCACTGCATCCCATCTCCACCTCCTGCGTTCTGGCCCCACCCACTTTCTCCTGGCTCCACCCACTGTGTCCCATCCCCACCTCCTGCCTTCTGGCCCCACCTACTTTCTCCTCCTGGCTCCACCCAGTGTCTGATGGCCCCACCCCTTTTCTCCTGGCCTCACCCACTTTCAGCTGGCCCCACCCCCTGACCACACCCACAGTAACCCCACCCTCAGCAACTACACCCACTTTAGCCCCACCCTCACCAACCACACCCACTTTAGCGCTGCCCTCAACCACACCCACTTTAGCCCCACCCCCGACCACACCCACAGAAGCCCCACCCTCAGCAACCACACCCACTTTAGCCCCGCCCCAGCGACCACACCCTCCCTAGCCCCGCCCCTCACCGACGCAGCCCAGGGTGAGGACGCCGTGCCGGTAGCGCTCCCACTGCCGGGGCGGGGCCCCGGGGCCGTCCCCGTGTCCTTCCTCCTCCTCGGCCCCGTCCTCATCCTCCGCCCCTTCCGGAGGCTCCTCCTCTTCCTC